TGAATTGAGATGTGTAGGCATAAGGTAGCAGTCAGCTTAAATTTTACTGAAATAGAGCTGTATAGATCCAAAGATGAACCACTATGCTTTGCAAAGAGTAGTTTGTCTGCTGTATCAGATGGCAGCATCCACTGTAAGAACAGGCACAGAGCAGCACTCAAAAAGGTCAAATAGGGTCACTCAGTGATTTGAATTCATAGGGAACCTGCCTAAGTGTGGGCATTGTTTTGAAAGAGGGTGGGGATAGCAAAGAAAAGGGCAGAAAAAAATAGAGGGTAATAAAAACCTAGCTCATAGCCTGAATCAGTATTTTAGCATGGCCCTGAGAAACATGTGCATAAAATATATCCGAGCAGCAAAGAGTGTTTACAGTGATGAGCAGATATTGTTTTATTTGCTTCCTCCTGCTTGCAGAAACAGAGCTTTGTAAGTAAACAGGATACATCCCTGGTATCTCCTCCTTGCTGGAACAGTGCTTGGGATGCTGTGTTTTCAATTCATTCACAAGGAGTGGAGTAAATCCAGCAACATTTGTGGTTATCAAGTAGAGGAATATTGGTTGGTTCAGTGGTAACCTCCAAAGGAACAGTAATAATAATTTCAAGAAAGGATAAATTCTTTTTTCTTTGTCCTCTCCTGACAGAGAACAGAGCTGGAATTTGGAGAATTTTTAAAAGCTGTTTCTATTTCCTAATACACTGTGACTTTAAGTCCTGTAAGAACAGTGTGCCTACTGGAACCATGCCATTACAAGGGTATGTGGTCAGTTTGGAATATTTTTGTAAGAGGACAGAATGATTTGATTAATTTTCAGTGTTTGTTTTGGCTCAAATTATTCATAAAGGTTTGGCCAGAAATATAGGAGAGAAAGAGGAAGCTGGGGCACTTTTAGCTTTATATCAACATATGGTATTTTAACAAACATCAAAAACTGACTGCTGAGAAGGATGAAAGCTCTCAGTAGTGAAGGATAGATCTGGGATAACCTCTGAATACTGACTCCAAAATGGAGTGGACTGGAAAGGTGAGGAGATTAACAAGACAGTTCTTGGTTTTGCCAAAGTCCAGACATATTTGCTGACAGAAGAAGAGCAGCAATATATTAGAATTCTGTGCAGTGCCTGCATGCATGTGTCTGACTGTGTACAAGTACCAATCAGTTTAACCTCTTCACGGCACCTGTCTGGCTTCCAAAAAGATTTTGGGAACGTGCAAAATCTGCCTGGGAAGAAGGCATTAGCTTCAGAGTATGTGCAGGTGAATATGGGGATGCCACTGCTCAGGAAAGATGGCAGACGTGACATCTACGCCTGGACTGCATGTTTAAAAGATGGAACAGCTTCTGCAACTGCTGGTTGACAGTAAAGTACGGGCATAGCAGTGTAGCATGTGCCTTGCACATACCAGTGGTGTCCGGCATTCAAAAGGAGGCGTTCTAATAAAAGTTTAAACTGACGATGAGCATTTTATAGCATATTTAGTTGTTCTTAGCTCAGTTTAGCTCCAAGGCCAAATACAGTTCCCACAGGAGGGATGTCTCTGCTAAAAATTCAAGCCCTGTGTTCTTCCAGTGGGATGCTTGTACTCCTTTGCAAAAGCTCTTAATGAGACCCACTGAGCAAAGCCATCTGATGTTCCTGATGACTCCAAGTTCACTTGTGCTGTTCCTCAGTGCTTTGGACACTTCAAGCTGGACGGTGAGACATCATCAGTAGGCCTGGGAACGTGGAAAGATTCAGTTCACAAGAAGTATTTATGTGGAAATACCATTTCCTATCTAGCATCCAGCCATAGGAGGCCCAGAGCTTTTGTGTTTTCTGGTCTGTTGTCATGGCAGAACAGGTGTCCTTGGCACAGATGCCAAAACAAAACAGAAGGAGGTAAGTATGCAAAGTTCTTTCAGGTCTTTCCGTATAAATTAGAAAGCAGCAAGTCTGTCTTTCTCTGTTTGATTTTAAAAGCTTTCTTTACAGATCACACTGAACACACCAATACGCAGCTCTGTATCGTGTTGAATGACTGCTGAGCAAGAGGAGGCAGAAAAGCAGCAGTTAGTTAGAAAAGAAAGCGTAGTGGGAGGCCCTCACATGTATCGGTGTACAAATTTAACATTTGAGCATGTATGCAATCACAGTTCCACATTTATCTTATGATGACCGGACTGATCCAAGCAACTGATTCATGTAAGTTTTATACCACTGTGGAGACAGCATATCTTACCTCCAAGTATGAAGCTGAACCATCAAACCGACAAGGAGCTAGTGCTGCATGCAGTGGGGTGCCCAACCTTGGTCACAAGTCCAAGCAAAGTGAAGCAGAGATCACTTCCTCAAATGGATAAAGCCTGGTAGAGACAGCACTGAAACAAGCAAAACCACTTATTTCACTGGGCTTTCAGTAGCCCGCAAAGGGGTGAAAGATTTCAAGGAGATTTATGGACTAAGTGGCTCCTAATGTAACAGCTTTACCACTCAGGAGCTCTGCTCTAGCATGTCAACATTCAGTTTAGTATCCAAACTTGTCCTGCTCTGCTCCAGACACTGAACCTTTTTACGGTGGCAGCGAGGGGAACTGCATGATGCCGCTTCCCTATTTCAGAGGATTTTATTACTTCCAGACACAAATTTTATCATATTATTTTATGTTGGGAAAATTCATGAATTTTTCTATTTCTCACTGTGGCTTATACAATGGCCTAATTAGCTATGAAATCTGGGTCACTAATCCCTTGCCTGGCTCTGACCTTGAGTGATCTTGGGGAAGCAAATTTTAATTTCTCAGCTTGCATTTACTCATCAGGAAAACACTAATGTTGAAATTTTTTTCCTCATGGCTTTATAGGAGGTCTCACCTATGGATTATTCTGTGGCATGGGAGAGAAAGAATACGAAACCCGACTATGGCAAGCTGTTCCCTTAGAGACAGAAGGATCCATTCACACCAGAACTTTATAAACATCACCAAAATCTTTCTTTTTCATTCCGCCTGTGGAATAACAGGATGTACGTTTAAGAAACAATATTGTTCTAAACAAGGACAGTATAGGTTATTAATTATCAAGTTAATGCTCAGAAGATAAGAATATTTTCTAATGGCCATGACCTTGTAAAGGACCTTCAAATTTTATTACGCACCTCTTTCCACACTCAGCCGGAGTTGCCACATGCCCATCTCTGGGAGCCTGGCTGCCTTACATTTGCAGTATTTGCTATATTTGCAGAAGAGGTAATCAGCAAAATTCCCACTGAAGGATATAACACAGGTGCATTTTACATACTATTGAACATGCAGGCATATTCTAATGTGATTCCAAAAGTACCAAGGCTTTTATCTATACTGATTCATTGGGTATAGATACCGGGCTTAAGGCAAGAAAACAGTACATAGTAACAGGATTACAGTTTTAATTTTGGAGTCGAGCCTACAAAGATGGAGAAGAGGCTGCAGAATTCTGCTTGGCTGCCACGGGCACCAGGGGTGGTTCAGAAAAGTTGTGTGCCAAGGGGCTGGACCATGTGCACTCAAGGGATATCCATGTGAGTAACACTTAATAGAGCCGGGAAAGGTTATTAAACCATTTTGCAACCAAAGTGTGGAGAGACAAGATGATTAGCCCAAGATCTTCCGTGACCAAAGACTGAATCTTCCGGCTCCCAGTGAAATGCCTGGGTTGCAGTCTGTATTTTACCAGGTGCATGGGGAGAAGCTCCTGTGGGAGGCGACTCTGCCAGAAACTGGATAAAACCAAGCATAGGACAACACACCATCATAGTGCTCAGAGGCAGAGTTACGTACACAGGGAACCACAGCCTTGCACAGAGACAATATATTGCTAGCCAGCTGAGTTGCCAGCTTGCGAGGTAGCTTGCTCTTCTAGGGACTGAGAGGTAGCATCAGCCAAGAGCACCCGATGGTCTGTATTTTGCATCTGGATGAGACAATTGGCATTCACATTTAAAAATCCCAGTGCTAAAATAAAGTAGTAGGACACACAGGACCCACTGCCCTACTCTGTGCACTGTTGCTGTGAAATGCTGGCAAGATAGGCACAGCTTCACCTCCAGAACTATCTTGAAGATACCACCTTCATAGTTTGGTAGCGTGTTTTATGACAGTTGCAGATTTCTCTTCAGTTTCTCGTCATCTGTGGTGTGCTTCTTGCAGACTCCTTGCATGGCCACTGACTCTTCCCCTGCTTTCAGAAGCAGTGAAGCCATTGGCTCTCATCAGTCAAAATGAGCCCCAGTTTCTCCTACAGCTTATCCAACACACAGGTATTGCTTGCTTCCAGTGAAAATACCCACAATCCACTGGGCTTTTAGACAGACTGGATCCAGGTTACTCTCTCAGTAGGCACCATGTTTATGAAACTGCTTGGTGCCAAGGGAAAGATGGAAGTGAAGCAGGTGGCCAGAGCACAGGGAACAGAAATGTGCACATGCCTGTAAGGGGGAGAAGCAGAGGCTATATCATATAATTGGCATGGGAAGGAGGTGGTGCAAAGAATGAGGCTGGCAATTCCTCCTTTCAACACATACTGTTTACTCCTGCCTTTCACTGGAGCTTGATGCTTAGGCTGCTCTGGCGTGTGGGCCCTCACGGCCTTCAAAACAGAATAATGAGGAAGTACTTCACCAACGCGAATTGCAGGGCTGGGGCAGACATATGGGGGCTGTGGCGTAAGATGGTGGAGAAGATGGAGGTGTTGGACTGGCAGAGATAAAAGACGGAGGAATGCCACGAGCAGGGTAGGAGATGACAACTTAGAGGAAAATGAAGGCAGGTGGAAGTAGCATGGACAGAGAAAGCGAGGGAGATGGTGCTATTCAGGATGAAATCTGGGGAAAGGCCAGGCAGTCATAGTAAGACAGGCAGCACAGAATCAAGATGCTTAACGTATGTACCCTGTACATCCGAACCAGGGAAGGAACACAGCCATGCCGCAAGTTTTTCACTTATCTCAAGACTAGCCTGCTTTCATGACAGGGCAGGAAGCAACCATGACGGGACGAAAAGTTCTCATGGTGTGGAGAGACCGAGGCGCTTGTCTGGAGCGTGATGACACATGGGGCCTCCTCCTCCTCACTGCGCTGGAGCCCGACCGTAGGGCACTTCTGGCAGGAGTGCTCTGCAGGCCTGCGGAGGGGGAAGGGGGAAAAATAAGAAGGAAATCAGC